TCGTGGATATAACGCTGCGCGTTCATGTTACCTCTAATGAAGATTAAAGGTGACCTGGAACCATAAGCTATGGCACCCCAAACCATAACTCCAACAGTGTGATGAACATGTCTTTCAACAAAAAACTGTGGATTCCTCCTTTCACCACGTCGCCTTCTAACCCTGGCACGACCATCGTGCATGCCTAAACAAAATCGAGACTCGTCACTAAAGACAATACTATTCCATTCCTGATCCCAGAGTGACCGTTGTCTGCACCACTCAAGGCGATTACGTCGGACTTCTCGAGTTAAAGGAAGGACCCAGTGTGGCCGGTATGAAAACAAGCCAAAACTTCTCATTCAACGGTAAACACTTCGCATGCCAAAAGGTCTTCCGTGTTCTGCAAATCATTCATTTGCAATGGACCTGGTAGTGGAGAAACGGTCCCTTAAGGCCAATAATCTTAGGCGGCGATCTTCACGGTATGTTGTTCTACGGCGGCGTCCAGTGCCCCTTGCTCTTTGCGTACGGCCTTCTCGAAGCCATGCCTGACAACACCTAACCATAGTGTCTACACTTCTTTGCACTCTAACTGCAATTGCCCGAAAAGAAAGTCCAGCTTCCCGAAGTCAAACTAAACTCACTAAGTTGACGAAATCGTACAGGTCTCCGTACTCTAGGCATCGTAACCGATCGTAAAGGATGTCAAGAACCCAAATCCGCCAACGTTGATTCTTTACTGCGGCTGAAATATTCATTGTTAGAGCATTAGTGAATTAAAAGAAAAGCAGTATAAAAACCGGAATGTGCAACTGATAAGGCTGAAAATTTTGTTCGCTTGTTATTTACAGTAAGATAAATACATTCACCAACTTTTATTAAAATAAAACCATTTAAACTGGGTGTTCGGATTTATATGTCACTTAGTATATTTTCGTTATGAATTAAATCTACCCAAACTTATGCAATCAAGATGGTGTATCCTGTGTTTTTAGAAACTCAAAAATCAATCGTACAAATCTCCATAACCTTATAAAGGGTTGTCCAATAGGGACGCAGGAAAGTAAACGTCAATTTGACATAGACGCCATCTTTGTTTTCTGTCACCGGCATGTCATTTTGTTAGTTGAATGTTTACCATTGATCGCTATGGAGTCGTATTCGATTGAAGACCGCATTAAAGTTATTCAAGAGCACTACAAAAATGGTGCAAAAATAAAAAACACGTTTCGCGCGCTTCGTGAACATTTCGGTCGCAACAACCATCGGTCGTCTGGTGCGTAAATTCGAGGCAACAGGTTCTGTGGCAAATCTGCCAGGCTCTGGCCGGCCAAGGAGCGTTCGCACACCGGAAAATATTGCTGTTGTGAAGGAGAGTGTGAGAGACGATCCGAAACAATCAACAACGCGTCGATCCCAAGAATTGGGCATTTCGAGAACCAGTTTGCTCCGCATTCTCCACAAGAATTTGAATGTACACGCCTACAAGATCGAATTGACGCAATAGCTGCGCCGGGCCGACCATTTTTCGCGCCGAACGTTCTCAGATTGGCTCCTTGAACACCGCCAAATTGATGCCAATTTTTCATCAAAAATCATGTTCAGCGACGAAGCGCATTTCACTTTGAATGGGACGGTAAACAAGCAAAACTGCCGCATCTGGGCGAACGAAAATCCCCGTGAGTATCAAGAGCAGCCCATGCATCCTCAAAAAGTGACTGTGTGGTGTGCATTGTGGTCAAAAGGCATCATCGGATCTTACTTTGTCGAAAATGCGGCCAGGGACGCCGTTGCCGTCAATTCTGAGCGATATCACCTGATGATAGAGGACTATTTTTTGCCGCAACTTGAAGGAATGGATATGGACGATGTTTATTTCCAACAAGACGGTGCAACATGCCACACAACCAACGTCAATATCCATCGATTGCAGTCCTTCTTCGGTGATCGCGTGATTTCGCGCAGAGGAAATGTGCCATGGCCACCAAGATCGTGCGATTTGACTCCCTTGGACTTCTTTTTATGGGGATATTTGAAAAGCAAAGTGTACGTCAACAAACCAGCCACCCTCCAAGAACTCAAAAACAACATCATTTGCCGAGATAAATGCCATAGAACCGACCATGTTGCAAAATGTCATTGAAAATTTCGACCATCGCGTGGACGTCTGTAAATCCAGTCGTGGTAAACATTTGAGCGATATTATTTTTCATACATAAATGGTATAAATGAACCTTCAAAATAAAGTACCCAACTTGATTTGAATATCAATCTTTCTTGTTTTAATATGCGTTTACTTTCCTGCGTCCGTTTTGGACAACCCCATATAAGGAAAAAACTTGCGAAAATGGAGGTCAAATAATGTGGAAATGTACAGGGTGTGCCATTTGAAAATTGTGAAAAATAGTTCATTTTACGTTCATGAACTAGTCGACAAAGTGATAAGGTAAGTGGATAGGGAGCAAATGCGGGATCATAAAATGTTTTTCATTGCTCCGACTGGAACAGTTGCAGAGTAGCCAAAGTTGGGTGTTTTACGTTACATCATATTGCTTTCTTTTTGAAAAATGAACGTTTGGGTAACCACGTAGTAACGAATCTTCCTGTAGAGACAATAGTTTTCCAAGTCGGGAGCATACTGTTGGCTACAATTTTCTTATTAATACAGTTAAACTTACAGTGGGCTGGCACTACTTTCTATTTCAGTTCTGTCATTTTATGGTAAGGTCGTAAAACGTATTGGAGAGGCAAAGAAACCCACCTTTTAGCCCGAAGGAATTTTAATACAGCTTGGTGCATGTTGGCTCTGTAGCTTAAGAACACGATGATGAAAGGCATGCAGGGGTGAATAATGCAATTATAGCATAAGAGGTGGGACAGCAGTACGAAAGGAAGGGATGTGTAGGGAAGATGGAAATTACCGAATATTAGTAAGCTTTAGAGCAGGACAGCTGGTTACCGGGCACGGGACTTTTCCAGCCTACTTACGCAGGTTTGGACTGCTGACTGTAGAGCGTATAATTGTAGATAATCTAAAGTATGTGTGTGTGTGTGTGTGTGCGCCTGTTTTTGACTTCCTATAAATAATCTGTATCAATGTGGTTATTTGTAGGGTTATAAATTCCATGCATGACTATTGTAAGATTCCGTAGTCTCATTAGTGTTTCTTTAATTTACTGAGGCAGGACTGAGGGTTTTGATTATTGATTTGGTTTTACTTTTTGGACGTAAATACATATATTCAGTTTGGAACTGAAAACATACAAAAAACAAATGAAAACAATAAAAAGGTACAAAAAACGAAGAAAAAGCAAAAATAGGGATAAGAGGAAGGCAGGGCCTTTACCCGCTAATTATTGCGATGTTGGAGGATGGTGGGTTCCTTTCTTAGTGATTTCGATAGAGCCAGTGGCAAGGATATTAGGTTAGAACCGTGAGGTGGGTAACTTGCCAGCCAGCTAGAGCATGTAGCCCAAGAGGTCAACCCGCAAGAGCAACAGTAGTTGCGCAACGTCCCCTCCATTTTAATCTGCAGTTATAGACGCGAATGTCTTCTAAAAGATGCTGGCCTAAAATCGATAACTCATTTTAGTAAAGCTATTTTTAACCTTTGCTGAAATGTGGTAAAAACAATAGCAATACCACTAGCTACCGACTACATGTTTACTCCAATTAATAGTTACATTACTCGTAGTTACAATCATTTCAACTAGAAATGTCAATCCCCAGGTCGATGATAAATAAATATGGAAATGAAGTGAAAAATCAACATGTTTTAGAATTCAATTAGCAATAACTGACATTTGTGTAAAATCAAAATATTCAAATGTTTCCACGGCCAGTAATTGTCACCTACAAAAAAAAAACGATGCATACAGACAGTGCTCTTCAAAAATGTCCTCATCATCACTCATTATTTGAATAAAACAGAAACATGAAGTTTGGGTTAATGGGGTTGATGATACAATGTCTTAGAGTAAAATCTGCACTTGAACATTTCGTGATGACGGCACTTTGGAACATGTTTTTAAACAGAATAAGTGGTCGCGTAATATATCAGTTTGAAGCTCGTAATGAATACTTCGTAGCGCTACAATATAAAATCACTGTACTTTACTTTCCACGCCTGATGGCGGAGGAAGTATTGTATGGATGTACGAGTATATCACAAAAACCCATGTCATTTCCGTCCGTCCAGCTGGGCGGTGTGTAACTTTGAAAGTTACTACTACACGAGGTTGCTACTATGGCAAAGACGAAAAAGCTAACTTTTGAAAATCAGGTCAAGAACAAAAAAAAATAAACAAAAAATACAAGTCGCTGAAACTTCGTCGTTCTAGAGAATCCGGATTTTGATAAATCCAGTAATTCTACGCACCTATGCGTAGAGTTACCTTGGTTGGTAACGTATAAATTTCTAGTATCAAAAATTTATATATACTCTCCCCAAACCCGTCAACCCCCAACATCTAATGCTTAGTCCCCGCAAACAAAAATCTGAAAATAATCAAGAGCCTATGATATGTCAAAAAACGAAGTTTAAGCGATCTGAACTTTATTTTTGTTATTGCTCCTACCTCCACAGCCACTTGACTAATTTTGAAAATTTACAAAGCCTTTGCGCCCTTGGTACCCTTGTGTTGAAATTTAATCCAAAACCGAGTATTTTCCAAGTTATAGGCGGTCCAAAGATTAGCGGGCAGACTGACATACAACTACACCGACGGAAATGAATGACATAGTTTTTTTGTAATCTACGTGCCGTATGACGTCCAAAAAACATATCTCATCTTTAAAATGTTTGCGAATACGATACTTCCTTGTCCAGTTGCGTAGTACTCCTATTGGTAGCGTATCAGGTACGCGCGCTAGTAACTTGGACGTACACGACAAACGGTTGGAATTTACCGTGCTTACGATAAAGTCCTGAATTTAACAATTCCACTTATTTCATCAATTGATGAACTTTGACCTTCATTTTTCAACTGCCAAATTCACCATCATTTTTCAAATCTCACCTTTGTATCTCATGCATGCTCTCCTGCGTCTTGTACACCTCGTAACTCCCCTGCAACAGCATTTCGGAGCTATTGTCCATGATGCCATGACAGTGCTGAGGCGCGTAGTGCACCGATCGGCCTTCACTCCGAGCGCTGTCGTCAGATGGCGAGATGGAGGCGCTAGCTGGCAGCACCGTCAGGCCCGCGACGTTGTGATAGTCGTTTGGGCCCACTTGAGTGAACTTTGACGACTTGGTTACTTTCTGCCCCTTCATGGTCTCTGGAAGGACAGAAGATATTGTACAGGGTGAGGCATAGCAACCAAGTGTTTTAGATTGGGTAATACGTGGAAAGGGAGGGGCGTACACCATATTACAATCCATTTCTTGAGCCGTATTTATAAAACAAAAGATATCCTTGTACTTGCAAATTTTGAAGGAAATCCTCCAAATGGTAAGTGTAATAATTTGAAGTAAATGCTTTTGCTTTTTGAGCATAAGCATACCCTTCAAAGCAGTGACATAAGTAAAAGGATATTCATAATCTTCACCTTATACATGGCATAGGAAGCATATCCTTAAAAAATTCTGAGTGTGGTCAGTAGCAGACTCAACTTCGTAACGAAAGGTGGTCAAACGATGATGGCGGAAATTGTGGATGTTAGGGATGTTAAAACGTACAAACCTCGTTTACCTTCACTTGGTCGTGACTTCAAAAAGTTATATCGGTTCGACGAAGCAAATGTACAATGGCTTGCCTTTTAGATGAGAATGAGGAAAGTCGAGGAGGAGAATTTTCTTGTATTCATAAAATAAAGGTATGTCTACGCTATCTCGATAACCCTGGATATCAACAAGGTAGAGTTGTGAACAGCATAGTTGCACAGTCGAACGAATGGATCAAGTTTCCAACTACCAACCATGAACTGATGGAGGCCAAGTGGATATGACAAGGCATGTATAAATTTCCGACAGCAGTAATTGGTGTAATTGATTGTACGCATATAGGAATCCTGAAACCAAATCGCCATGGAGATGAGTATATCAACCGAAAAGGGAAACATACTTTAAATGTGCAAGCCGCTTGTGGTGCCAGAGAGATGTTTACAAGTGTTGATGTCAGTTGGCCTGGGTCAGTGCATGATTCCAGAATATGGAGAAATTGGCAGACTAGATCACAACTAATAAATAAAGCAAATTTTGTATCTACTACTTAGCGATGACGGTTATGGTATTAAGCCCTTCAGAAATCCTACTCCCGGTGCAGAAGTAAATTATAATAAGTTTTTGAAACAAGAGTTATAATTGAACGCTGTTTCGGCGAACTGAAACGCCGGTTTCCTATCCTACAGTATGTTCACCGAGTAGAGTTGGAAAGTGTGCCGGAAATGATTATTGCTTATATTGTATTCCATAATGTTGCGAAGATCTTGGGCGGTCCTGACTTTGAGTTAGTTGAACAAGACCCAGGTGAAGATGAAGGAAAACACGAGAATTTCCTCTCCGCCAACTAGGTCAACAAATAAGAAGAAACTTGAGTATTATAATAAATAGTTTTACTGATTAAAGTGTATTTATAAATCATAATAAGTTTTAATCAAACAATTTAATTGCTTTATTACCAGTTTTTTTAGATCTGTTTTTTCTTCAATCTTGATTTCATGTTGTTGATTTTTTTTAATCTAATGGTTTACCGAACGTTGATTCGTATTTTTTCAACATCTTCAAGGCATCGTCCTTTCTCATTTTTATTTTTGGAACTTGTGACTTTTGCAAAATAATGGGAGCAATGGCAATTTAATCTGCGATGAACTGCAGGTCGTTGCCATTATTTTCTATAGTTTCCTCATCACTTAAGAATGACATGCTTATTGATTTGATAAAAAACTGTATCCAGTAAAAATACGGAACGGTCTGTGTGAGCTCTGGAGTACAACTGTCAGTGATGCTGAGTGAACGAAATCCCACGTCAAACTACAAGCTGGAAAAAGTCAGGACATGTCGCTCAATATACAAATACCAGTCAACCTTTTACTTCTTCTTGCAGGATATCCTTGCGAGTATAAGGTAATCATTATGAATATGAAGACAAGGATATGCCTATACTTCTACCTTTTTCTCCGGAGCAAGAGCTTATACTTTTACCTTATGCTTCCGAGGATATGCTTCTCTTTTATGAATACAGCTCTTTGACTCAAAGCGTTGCCGTCATTCCACTTTCAGTTCCAACCGTGGAGCCATGGACACTATTCGCTGCTATTGTTTTCTTAGGAGTGGCGAGTCGGTGACTGCAGTACAACTTGAGTACCGCCGAAGATTATAAAATCCGCGAGCATTGCGTACAGAGCCACTCCACAGCCCTAGGGTAATTTGGCGTCATTGGACCATATTTTTATTTTTTTTTCAGGGAAAATTGGGTTACCGTTACTGTAACAACTGACCATAACATTAATACGGCTAACAGCTTTTTCATACCTACCTTACAAAGAAGAGGTGTGGATATGCAAGATTAGTGGCTTCATTAAGATGGGGCCACGGTACATACCGCCAGAGCATCCATCGCTGTTCTTCGCCGCCTGTTTCCCGCTTTGGTGACATTTTATAGCCTCGCCAGTCCTCTGACTTATCCACATGCAATTTTTTTTGTGGGGATACCTTAAGTCGCGTATTTACGAGAACAAGCGACGTACGTTAGATGATGCATTAAAGCAAGCGATTCGTCACGAGGTTAGTCTAACCAATTGAGATCTACGGGAAAGAGTGCAGTCAAATTTCCGTGAACGACCTCAGCAATACGTCAATGAAAATGGTCATCACATGGGACGTGTTATTTTCCATTCATGAATATCCTAAAATGGACAACTTTATTATCATTTTAAAAACGCTTGGTCCCTGTACGATGAGCTAAGCTATCTTGTGTATTCAAATAGGCGGAAACTGAATTCCGGTGCAATTTCGAGCTACTGGAAAATGTGAAGAAATGCCTGATGATACCAAGAAACTAGCAGAGGTCATTACAAATGGCAAGATATTCGCCTGGTAGATTGTTCCACATTCTATACTATGAGATCCGAATTTGTCTGATGCTTTGACTTCAATGTGTAAGAGAGAGAAGCGGGAAACGTGTGTAAAACAAATATTACTTGAGTTAGATAGAGCCGGATGGTAAGCCTAGCAACGCTGGCCCGGAAGGCCTTGGCCATCTGCGGTGTTGCCAATATGTTACACCACTTCCTTGTACTATGATGCATGTCGAATGTAGTTTATTCTCTACTCCCAAATAATGGACTTATTATAAACGTGCACATTTTTGAACTGTGAATTGTGTCGAATCTGTTTAGAATCGTTTTCGGATCGGTCCTTACGGTCGAAAATAAAGGTCAGGGCAGCCACAAATTCTGGGACATCATTGGTTTGCTTGACAACACCGCATCTCGTACACTCCAATGCAAGGTTTCCACCTCCATGATAGTCCAGTGCTATTAGCGTTTCCTCTCTGTCCAACAAGTACTTGAACACCAGTACGCCAGCCATTCTCGTTAACGACTTACAACAAACTCTGTATTTCATATCTTTGGTAACGGTTGCCTAGATAAAGGGTGTTCCGATGAGAACGCGTTTATGCTGGAATATCATAAAACACGTCTTGTTTGATGCATTTTTATTTTTTATTTTATTGTACGGGAGTTGGCATGAAATATTCAAGCTTTTAGTAACCATCATAGTTTTCGAAAATATTAAAAAACAGTATAATGATTCTAATGTTTCCACGGCTACCACAAATTCCTAGTTATTACTTTTTGGAGAAAAATCATGAAAAAATAGTCTTTCCTGACGAGCTGTCCAGAGATCTGCTGCTCCAACAAATAGGACAAATAATATCTTATTTTGAAGTCTAAAGGCACTTTTAATCTCGTTCAACTCTTCTGCTCTATCGATCTCTCGTTTTACTTTCCACGCCACTGGGTTGGAAGTATTGTGATCACGAAAAATTTCTAAAAACATTATTTATAGTTTTCTGATGTTATATGACGTACAAAAAACTATGTCACCCATTTCCGTCAGTCTAACCGTCGATCAGTCTGTCGAACTGTCTGTCGGTCTATCGATCTTTTGGTCTGCGGTCTGTCCGACTATCGTCTATGTTTTTGAGCTAATCCTTATCTGGTCTATAACGTGGACGATACTATTCGTCATTTATTTATCTGGGCGGTCCGTAGGACCTTTGCCCATTAGTCACTGTCTGATGTACGTTAGTCGAATCTGTCAGTCCTGGTTGCCCAGAAACCAGACAAAGTCAAGGAAAAAGAGAAAGGGAAAGAGAAGAAAAAGGAAGAAGAACAAAGAAAAACAGATATGCTTAGTTTAAGATTAAAAACCTAGGCTTTTTGACTTGGTACACGGATTAATTTTGAGGTGAACTAAACAAATTTTTGATTCGGTTTTGTTAGAGTGTAATTTTGAGTTTACTAAAGATTCACGCTAACTTTTGATTACAGTGCGAGCCGTGGCCTTGAATGTTTACGAACTTGCTCCACTGTGTAGTCCACTGAGTCACGCAACAAACCAAGCCGCACATGCATAAGTAATGGCTGGTCTAATAATCATTTTATATAGTCGAACTTTGTTTATCAAACTCAATTTGGAGGATCTACATAACAAAGGATATAGTTGCCGAAACGCAATTTGGAATTTTGTTTTTATGGATGCTGTATGTTTCTGCCAGGTCATGCCTTTATCAAGGGTGACACCGAGATACTTGGCAGAATTTGTCCATGGTACACGATTTCCGTCTACAGAAACCTCTGCTGGGGGGCCGCGACGTTTTTTGGTACAATAAATAGCCTGCGTTTTCGAATGATTAATTTTTATCAGCCACCGTTCCGCCCACTCTAGAACTTCGTCCACCGCATTCTGCAACCCATCGTGAACCAGATCACCAGTACACGACTGGGCGACAAGTGCAGTGTCGTCAGCATAGAGGTAGACTTCACAGTTGCTGGGGGAAGGGACATCATGGATGAAAAGCGAATAAAGAATTGGTCCTAGGACCGAACCCTGAGGAACACCGGCCCGTACTCGCCGTGTTGTTGACAAAACATTGTTAATTTTGATCCGAAACTTCCTTCCTTCAAGCAAGGATTTCAGTAATTTTAGAAGCCAAAAAGGAAAACCCTTTTGGATTAGTTTATAGAGGAGGCCCGCGTGCCACACCTTGTCAAAGGCTTTTGAGACATCCAAAAGCAAGATGCCAGTACTCATGCTAAGGGTGAACC